CCCCCCGACTCTGCTCCTAAACCAAGATTATTTTATGTTCCCAGAAAAAATTTTGATTAAAAATATTGAAATACAATATGATTACACATCACGCACATATATTCTATTATTAGGAATTAATAATATCATGTTTAATATCAAAAATATAATTAAATGTATGTTCTCTGGGCTTTCTTCATATTGTTATGATTTGATTATTCATTAATTAATCAATCAATCAATTTAGAGGCTGGAGGTACTCAGATAGATAGATAGCTACATATTGGTGTTTATATCTTAACATCTGCAATGGAGTTCTGGTACATCATGTAAACAAAAAACAGTCAGGTAAATATTGTTATTGTTATTATTGTTGTTATTATTATTATCATTATTATTATTATTATTATTATTATTATTATTATCAGGGATGATCTGGAGAACTGTGATGCTAGCCGTGATGTCCTGATTAAGAAAGCCTGGGAGACAAGAGATGCTGCTGTTAAGAGGAAGAATAATACAGAGATAGAACTAGCCAAGACCAGGATAGATGTTATGCAGGTTAGCACAGTAAATCAAATACCATGCCTGTTTCACTATTGGACCGCATCTGTTTTTTGTCGTTGTACTATACCGTACTGAATTTAGCTGTGCTGTACTGAAATGTACTGTAATGATAAAAGGATTTCTAGGTTTTTTAAAATCTCGTCATGCTACACCACGCCTGTCCAAATTATCGCACCTCATTGGGCTTTAATGTTGTACTGTACCGTACTGCGTTGTACGTTGCTATACAGTAATACACTGTGCTAAATAAGAATTATTTTTAAAAGCGCGACTCTTTATTTTAGCTGGTGTTTGTTCATATATAAATATTTGGTTTGGAAATTTTTTCAAGATACGTACCATCAGTCGGGCCGGTGCATGAATATTTCGTTGTACCGGGCCGAATTTCTATCTATCTATCTTCAAATCGTTATATTGCCATTTTGGCCCTAAGTGGAATAGGAGGGTACCGGGAGGTTTTTGAATTAGGAGGATGGAAAAGTTTATTTAAAAACACATCAAATCTGTGATTGTGATTAATCAAGAATAGATAAATTAGTTATTGAAAGAAAACAACAGATCTTAAAAAATTCCAAAAAATGTTTGAACTAAAATTGAACTATATTTGATTTTTCTTTTCAGCCATTTTTTTGAAGGGTTAAAAAAATTGAGTTCAAAAATACAGATTTAAATAATTGTTTAAATTTACGGTTACACCTTTCAGATTATTCAAGTTGTTAAAGCTTTCCTCCCTCATACCATTTCTACCCTTTTACTCCTTTCTTCTCCCCCTCCCCTCCCCCCTCCCTACAAAGTGAACTAATGGAATGATTGATTGAACTGGATTTGCATTAAAGGTCCTTGTTTAGATTCAGTTTTTATCCATTGATTGATTTAAACGTGATTCAAGCGGGTTTTGTTCTACTTATAACTAGAGACGGGCACCTTTTTTCATTTCGTTCGCTCGTCGTTTGTTTCCATCGTTAAAAAATATTGATTTTTTTCGTTCTCAAAGGGATCGTTCATTTATTGTATATTTCGTGCGTTTTCTCACCCACGATTGTTTTATTTTTTTTTGAAATTTTTTTCGTTCAGTAAAAAAACTGTCTTTTTTCTAACGATTTCAAATTGTTCGTTTTCGGGTTTTTTTTCGTTCGTTTTTTAAAAACAATGGTTTTTCATTTCTCGAAACGATCCAAGTAGCTTGTCCATCGTTTCTTATCTGAACAAAACCATTTTTCACGAAAAAAAAACGATGTCCATCTCTACTTACAACCCGAGATGCCAGAGCTAAAACCTTGGAGAAAAATACAAGATTGTAGACAGGGTGTCCCACATCATATTGGATCGTGCTCGAGCAGAAAGTTCTAAATTGAGTAAATTGTGATTCTTAGAACAATTAAATTCATATGGAATTATTTCAAAATATTGTAAAAAATAAAACAGTTTTTATAAACAAAATACAGGGTTCTAAAATGTTGTAAGTATTATTATCAATATTGTATTATAATTGTACATATTATTAATCATTTCGTGCATGATAATTCAATATGTAGTGGAACGGTAGACATATTTGAATCTTATATAGAAATTTATATATTTAAACACCAGTAAAATCAGTCCTGACTCCTGATGCTAAAATGAAAGAATGACAGAAAAAAAGTCCAATTTTATTTTTACATGCCTTTTCGAAACCGGTAGTCGGATGCATAAATTGTAAATAAAAACTTTGATATTTTAGGTAAACTCTCAACTAATGGAAGCAGTACAACAAAAAGTGTCCTTGAGTCAACAACTGGACCAATGGCAGCAAGATGTACAGGTGCGTTTAATTTAAAATGACGGGTTTTCTCTCAATCAGCTCAGCTGATGGAAAACTTTTTTTTAAATTAAATATTGCGGTTTCTTTAAACTTAATCAGTTTATTGTAAACCGTTTTTTTCAGGAACTTTTAATGGAGAACATGAACAAGAAAATGGCGGCGGGCCGGAAGTCCGGCGCAGACTCCGATACCGGTTCTAACCAGAATCAACCAGAACGGAAGAAATCCTCTAAAATTCTCGCTTTTCTCAAACTTGGACCTCCATGACATCACGTTTTTGACGAGAAAGAGGTAACAGTAAAAAAAAATGCCAAAATAAATATTTAAAGTTAAAATTATAAAATTATAAAATATCTTTCTTGTCTGTTCTACTTACTGCAAGAAGAAGATATTCTTTGATGTATGATAATTAAGTTTGAAGACTTAACTTTAACTTCAAGACATTTGTTTTAAATATTTCATCAAAAACAATCTTCGAGAGTCTATTTAATCAAACAAATTCAAATATTCATCTTTAAAATCTTAATAATTATGAATTTTAAATATGCTATAAGAACCAGAAATTTCGGATTGAAATTCGGCTTTACGATTCCTTTAACTTAAGAAATGTTGCCCAAAATTTAGCCATTTGCAATTGCTGCAACTCCTAAATCCTAAATATGTTCAGAGCACCAAATTAAACAATGTTGAGATACATTTCCTTGATTGAAGAAAAATTTTTGGTTCCAACTTCGAATGTATATTAGTTTTTTACTATATCCTTTTAAGAACTGTTTTTAAATATTTATTTTTATAAATTGTATTTTTTTTTCAGGAGATTGAAGCAGAGGAAGCAGAGAAAAATACAGAAATCTGTGAAATAAAAAGTACGGACAGGGACAACTAAAAAAAATGGCCGAGACAACCTCAAAAATCTGCGAAACACTAGCTGATATTTTTTATGATAATCAGGGTAGAATCATTCTTACAAAATTAACAAAACATATATTTATATTTATCCTTGATTAACCAGATCAATTATACATATTATGTATCTCTAAACAGTGAATTTTAATTGCAATATTTTTTGCAACATATTATAAATGTGAAAGTAGCAAAGAATATTAAGTAGTTCTCCGATTTGAAATTGAGAAACATTGTGAAGAATTGACAAGATATTATTTGAATATGACGAGTAACGGTACTATATCTTTAATTGTGATATTATGATAAAATGAATTAAAGACGACCTGTGAAGAAAGTTTGTAAGGTGTGCTCTCACTAGTCAATATTCTAGATAATCTTATTTCCACAAGTCATAAAGAAAAACTTTTAAAACCAAAGATTGCTAAATTGAATTAACGATTCCGTCCGTACATCTAACTGCGATTATTAAATTTCAAATTGATAAATCCAAGTGCTAAACTTCAGTAAATTGTAATCGAGTCCAAACAAAAATTTGCTCAGAGTTAAAAATGAATGGCTTGCCTTACCGCTCAGAGTCATATGGGCCTCAATTCCCTAAAAAACTTACAAAAATATTTGAAACTAGTTGCCTACTTTTAAAAACAACATTTTCTCTGATAAAATCTCCCAAAACAATAAATAACTTTTAAAAAGTACAATTGTCGTCGGATATACAATGAAGACGACTTTAGAGTTCAATTTTGTTCATAACCAAGCTTTCAAACAGCATGGATAAGCATAAACATGGAAACAAAGAGAAGCAGTCAATTAACAGCTTCTCTTTGTTTTAGTACTTGTAAACTTGTAAATTTGAAAAAAGCTTGTTAGAAATCAAAACTTAAAAAGAAAAGTCGTCTTCATTGTATTGATATAAACGCCGACCACTGTACATAGTTCAAATTATAAGTAATTGTACAACTGTACAGTTTACAGTACTGTACAATCATAGTATATATTATATAGATCCCAGCTGCAACTATATTTGTGATAAACGTAAAAAAACTAATAATATGTATTATCAATAAATATATAATTTAAATGTGTCCTTCATTTGATTTATTTTAAACTATTTTTATTGTTTTTTCTCAAATAATTTTTTTTAGTGCTATGGACAAATTAATGAAAATGCTTTGCTGAGTTTTCTGTTTACATTGATTTTCAAAAAAAATTAGATCGACATTTATTCTATATTTTATTGATATTGTAAATATAAAAATACAATATTTTCTTTATTTTTTTTCTCAACTCTTGTTCTTTTCAACAAAAACCTAAACAAAATTTTGTTTATAAAAATTATTTCGAATTTTACAAAATCGAATTTTTCTTTTGTTTAATTCAGCATTTCTTTTCTGCCATTTTTTGTTCTCCTTATTTACCTGCATCTCGCTATAAATCCTGTCTGTAAATTCTCCAAGGTTCAAAACAGGTTTTTCTAAAATAAACAATGTTTACCTACAGACAGTACAGGGTGTTTCAATGGACATGGAAATACAATGACAACCTTTAAAATCGACCAGTTGTATAGCTTATATTTCACAATATTTTTAATTTTTCATGATCCGAGAGTTACTTTTTAAAACATTTATTCCTGTTTTGAGGATTTTTGATAATGAAGACGACATTTTCATATTTTCCAGGAATGTTCGAAAATCGGGCGCCAGCGAAATATTATTTAAAAGAAACAAAATCAAAAATATTATGAAATATTAACTTTATACGAATGCGTCGAAAAATAATCGATGACTATTGTTTGTAATATCTTTATGATTTGTTTGGAATTAAATTGATTATTTTACGATCAGAGTTGAATGTTGCAACTTTCTGAATTTGTATTATTGTAACGCTACGTTCTTTGGTATGAGTCGTTTTTAACAATTTTCTCCTTATAAACGCAACATATAGAAATAAGATTAGTAGCGATCAAAAGCGCTTGTTTTTCGCATTAAGCCTATACCCCCTTTTCGCTCATTTTAATTTCTAAATTTTGCGTACTTTAAAGCACCCAAATTAACCCTAAAAATGGTCAGGTTAATTTCCTCTCAAGTTTGAAGCTTATCCTTAAACTTCTGAATTTAACAAAAATATGAGATTTTAAAAAATCTAAAAAAGTAATTTTCCATTTTTTTACAACAAATTTAAAAATAAGTAATTTTACAATTTTCTTTCTTCAGCCCCTTCACTACGAAGCACTTTCACCATTGAAATTTCAGGTCTAACAGTTTTAGCAATTATCCCCCCCCCCCTCCCATGGTCTTTCTAGGGTTAAAGAACACCATCAATGAACACTAAATGTATTGTTAAACATTTTTGCAAATTCTTTTGAATATTTATATTTAATTCACCTTGAAGGAGGTTTAGTATAATCCTTCTAGCAGAACTCCTTTTCCTCCTCCTTTCATACATATTTAGTATTAAAGGGACTGTAAACGTTATTTCAAGTGACTCCATTCTCCGCGAAACATACCTCGATACCCTTTAAACTTCTATCTGAATAACAGTAAGGAAAACTTTGTTGTTTTCTTTCCAGAAAAGTGTTTCTCGACATTGTTTCTCATTTAATAACAGCAAATCTCTTTTAATCTCTTTAAGAGAGAAGACACAATTAAAAATAATCAATTTTTGAATTTTTATCTTTATTAGAAAAGATTTTAAGGATACCGTTGAGGATTGGACATGCCTCTCTAAACATGGAGGTTCACTTGAAATTATTTCTGCAGTCCCTTTAATTTTAGAAATATCTACAAGGGGAAAACATTGGGTTTTTAAAATTTAATTCTAGAAATAAATTTTTTAGAAGTTTACAATAATACCCAGAAAGAAGGCTTTAAAAAAACACATTTTACTTTATGTTTTTATACAGTCCATTGTATAACATTATCTTTTTTGAAGACAGAGAGCCAAATTAAGCTATTGAATAATCATAATTCAAAAGCGTCATGGTTACCAATGAAATTTCATTCGTTTTGAGAAACTTTTTTACGAACAATGTTGTTTTTCTTGTTACCTTCCAGGCATTGCAACAACCACATTGGCACCGTTGTTGTTAACATTTGCGTTGGCGTTGTTAGCCGTTTGAGCGTTGACATTCACGTTGTTAAGATTGTTGTTGTTGTTGTTGATGTTATTGTTTACATTTACAACAATTGTCACAACTCCCGCCACAAAATTCAGAAAGTTGAACGCATTGGAACCACCTGTTAAAAAGTTTCTTTTTAAAATATTTTTTTTTGAATTTTCATTTTTTATTAAAAGTTTGTACCTAAAATTCCGGCCATATTCTGACAGGTTCTAAAAATAAAAAAGTTATTTTATAAGTTTTTTGTTTTTTTTTAATGAGTTTACCTAATTTTCTTTTGTTTCTTTTTTATCGTAGGAAAACTAGATCGTCCAGTTCTGTATTTTCCTAAAAGCAACTAAATATGAACACAAAACAGCAAGGAAAAAGGGGGGGGGGGTATTGTTACTGCCCCCTAAGCATGTATTGCAATTTATTTGCTTAAAATTTGCAACTTGCTTTCTGAAATCAGAAATGTCTTGCATTAGAAAAATGTGAAGTAATTTGGAGAATATTCCTATAATTCTTTTTATGCAAAACTACCCCCTCAAAAAAAGCACAAAACTAGAATAAAAAAATTTACCTTTTCAAAAAAAAGAATTTTCAACATATTTTATATCTAAATTTTCGTTTAAAAAGGAAAAAAATTTTACGACTTACTTAATTCATTTTTTATTTTAACCTTAATATAAATCATTTAAGTAAAAATTTACTTAAAGGGACTGTAAGCGTAATTTAAAGTGACACTCTAAGAAAAATGGCAATGCCCAATTCACAACGGTACCCTTGATCTGGTCAATAATGTGAAGCTGTAGTCGTTTTTTCTAGGGTTCAACCGTATTAATTCTAAAATTCCTAAATGTTTTATCTTGCAGAAGTAGAAATGCACAAGTCACTTTAATTAGAGAAACTAAAGTTGAAAATAATCATTTTTCAAAATTATAAACCTTGAATGAAATCTATCTAACTTGATATACGATTACAGTCCCTTTCAACATTAAAACACTGGAAATGGAAATTGTAATAAATACAATAATTTGTTTTTAAACAATTTTTTATAATTTATCTTTATATTTTTTGTAAAATAAGATGGTAAGAGGCAGAATTATCAATTAATAATTTCAAATGTTCATTTTTTCAATAATTTTTTTTAATCGATCTTTTTCACTTCTGACGAACACAAAAAATGTTCACTTGCCTTTAATATTGAATTGAAGGTTTATTGGTTGAAGAGCTCGGGAAATGTCGTCTGTTTCGTCGAAGAATTTTCACAGTTAGATTTGTAAAATGGTGAAATAAATTTTTCAAAATTTCACTTTAAAATCTGATTTTTTAATCGCATAAATTAAGTTGTTTCTCTTCGGAATAAAAAACTATAATTTCCATAAAACATAAATAAAATAAAACTTATTAAGGTTCGAAGGCACAGACATTTTTTAAATTGTAATTTTAAAGATTTTAAACTGTCAAAACTGCCTTGAAAACGGTCTTCACTGAAATTATAAATATTAGACAATACTTAGACAATACTTAGACAATACTTAGACAATACTTAGACAATACTTAGACAATACTAGACAATACTTAGACAATACTTAGAAAATACATATACAATACTTAGACAATACTTACACAATATTAAGACAATAATTAGATAAGACTTAGACAATACATAGACAATACTTAGATAATACTTAGACAATACTTAGACAAGACTTAGACACCAGTAAGACAATACTTAGGCAATACTTAGACAATACTTAGACAATACTTAGTCAATACTTAGACAATACTTAGACAAGACAGACAAGACAGACAAGACAGACAAGACAGACAAGACAGACAAAACAGACAAGACATACAAGACAGACAAGACAGACAAGACAGAAAAGACAGACAAGACAGACAAGACAGACAAGACAGACAAGAATATATATTATCTATCTATCTATCTATCTATCTATCTATCTATCTATCTATCTATCTATCTATCTATCTATCTATCTATCTATTCATCTATCTATCTATCTATCTATCTATCTATCTATCTATCTATCTATCTATATATCCATCTATCTATCTGTCTATCTATCTATGTAACCTTCTATCTATCTATCTATCTATCTATCTATCTATCTATCTATATATCTATCTATCAGGTTAAAGTACAGTAAGCCGAGGATAAAAGACTCAGTTGACAAATCTTCTGTAAAGAATGAAAATGAAAATTATTTTAATTTTTTTAATTTTAATTTTCCAGTTTACCCGCATCCTGGGATATCATGACCTAGTGATAAACCAAATAACGATGCTAAAAAATAATTTTGAGAAAAATCTTCAATTAAATGATTCGTACTCTGAAGTCCAGAAAACAGGTAAGCTATAATATTTTTAAAGCTGTTAAAGGGACTGCTAACTCTAATATTTTTAAAGCTGTTAAAGGGACTGCTAACTCTAATATTTTGAAAGCTGTTAAAGGGACTGCTAACTCTAATATTTTTAAAGCTGTTAAAGGGACTGCTAACTCTAATATTAAAGCTGTTAAAGGGACTGCTAACTCTAATATTTTTAAAGCTGTTAAAGGGACTGCTAACTATAATTCACAATTCTGTTCCCTTGAAACCTTAATTCTTTCAATAAGACGGAAGATAACGCGTTTTTTGATAGAAACGTGCGTGTGTTACTTTTGTAGAGATCTACAGATGAAACTAAAGAGGTGTGAATCGGACACGCCAATCCAAGGTTATAATGCCAGGAAAGATATTTCAGAGGTGTACGCATCTTTTGTACTGCAGTGTACTGTCTCTGGGCGGTAATCTAAACACAAGACGGATGTCAAAGCCTGACATAGGATCCATCTTTCACATGAAAAATCAATGAAATATTGTGCTCGTAGGAAACTCTTATGTAAATTATTAAAATTATCAAAATTTAATGCGTTTAACCCCCTCGGATACTAAACGAACACTAAAGCATCTATTCGTGTTTATAAATTCAGCCCAGAGAGAACTGGTTTTAATATGTACTCAGAGTATACGCAACTGCAATTTACTTTCCTTGCATTATAACCTTGCGACGGAGGGTCACTTGAAACAACGTTTACAGTACCTTTAAATAAGTTCTGCTAGAGATCAGTTTTGTTACTTTAAAGCTAAAAAGACGACTTTTAAGTCTCTTTAAAAAGAATGTAGGTATAATTTCAAGTGAGCCTTCATTTGAAGAGTGGCGTGTTCAAATTCACAACAGTACCCTTTTGAACATTTGACTGATTAAGAACTCGGATGTTTATAAAAATAATCTACAATGTATTCTTCAAACACTATGTTTGCGAGCTGTTTTATACTCATAAAATATTAATTTTTACTTTCTAAGGGTTGAAGAAAATAAATATTTACTTAGAATTTCGGACGTAAATGTGCGCGCGAAGCAGAAAAAAAAACTTCTGTTCATCTGAGTTCCTAGTATCTTATTTTCCTCATTTTAAATATATATCTTTTTATCTGTTTCTTAGCGTTTTTTCACTAAATAAAGTCCCCTATTAAAGTCTACAGAAATTTGTTGTTATTAATTCACCATGTAGTCCTTTTTTGTCCACTACATATAGTCCCATTATAGTCCCATTATAGTCCCATTATAGTTGGTTTTTGTAGTCTGCAGCAAGTTAAGTTCCTGCAAGTACTTTGTGACTATCTTTCTTCTGTTCATAATCCATATATATTCTTTCTGTAGTCCCTCTACCCAATTGTTCTCCAGTAAGGGCCAAGGGGGCTAAATCTTACTTCTCTTGTAGCACTTTAAACTAGAAACTGATTAAAATAGTATTTCTAGATATCTCTAGTGAGCAAGGATCTAGAAACTGATTAGAATAGTATTTCTAGATATCTCTGGTGAGCAAGGGTCTAGACACTGATTAGAATAATATTTCTAGATATCTCTAGTGAGCGAGGGTCTAGAAACTGATTGGAATAATATTTCTAGATATCTCTGATGATCAAGGGTCTAGTCGGTCTAGAAAGGGTCGAGATATTCCATCAATATATATGGATAAAAAGAAGAAATTAAGGAAATCACTCATTTGCTAATTCAACATTTTTAAACATGTTTAAATTGATTTCAAATCACTTTACTATTGTGTTACCACAGCAATTTTAAAAGTCAATCTAATAAAAGTAATTTATTGATATCATAGATACACAAGAATATACAGTTAAACCCGAAATAAGCCATACATCGAAAGAATTCATCAAAAGTCGTATTCTTCACTTTCTGATAATGGAATGTTACAGATATTTAGTTTTTTAATTAAATGATTATATGGAGCTCTTCAAAACTGTTCCTGCATATACATGGCTATTTATTTATTTTTGCAAATACAGATATTTACGTAAAATATTATAAAACCCATGGAAAAATTGCCAAGACGACATTTGATAATTTCTTTCGATGTATGGCTTATTTAGGGTTTAACTGTAGATAGCTCATGTCGTCTTCACCATACCGGAGGGTTACAGTCAAAGAGAATAGAATATATTAGAGTGGAATTTAAACAATCCCTCGGTATGAATTTCGTCAGTCCCTTTCAGCCTGAAAGGGAGTTCAAAGTATACAATTCATGTAAATGTTCACAAATTATACGCAGTACATCACACTAATACAATATGATCCCTGGACATATCCATTCCAATTTCTTTGTTTTATAAAGAAGTTGTTAAACAACTTTAAACGTGTGTATTCGCTATAGATGAATTAAAATCATAGGTTGTTGAACCAGTAAAGAAAAAAATTTCAGAGTTAGAAATATTAAAATATTTTTTTCAAATTCAATCACATAGCAAAAAAAAGCAAAACTTCCCTACAAGATTTATGCAATATGCTTCCTTTTGTCAAAGGCAATTTAGATAGATATTTTGTCTGCAGTTTTGCAATATTTTTTCTTTGCCTTTGAGCTATTACAAATAGCCATAAAATATTTTTACTTCAAGAAAATTGGCATCAAAAAGAAAAATGCCGTTAAAAGCTCAAAAAAAGCCATTTCAGGCTAAAAGTTTGACGATTAAACTGAACCCTCAGCCCTACTTTTTTTTTAATCGAGAAACTATAATGTGTATTGAGTCATTGATTTCGACCCTTTCTGAGGTTTTCTGGTCCAAAAAAAATGCCCCCCCCCCCCCAACTAGCAAAATTCAAGCTACCTGCGTGCCAAAACCAAAGTATTATCTTTATTTAACTAAACATTTTTTTATTTTTGTTCCACAGGGAAAATGTTTTTAATCCATTCTTAAAATAAAATTTAAGTATCTATAACATTCTACATATAAAAGCTTCCCGCAATTTTCTAGGGTTGTTTTCCCCCTTTCCGCCTTCCCCTTAGCTGACTCAGAGCCGTTTTACCTTCTAACTATAGGCTTAAAACTTAGCAAACATGAATACGATTGGTTAAATGTTTTCCTTCCATTTCACAGTATTATGAATCCCACTGTATGAAAGTTATGAATTTGAAATTAAAGAGTTAATAACCGTTTACCTTCCTCATTCTCAATTTTTATATTTTGGTATCTTTAGTATTTCAAATATATTGGTTTTACTGTTTGGTTACCTCAAATTAAAAAACATGTTTTTTACAAAATAAAAACATCAAATTGATTTTATCGAAGCTTATGCTTGGGAATGCATGACAGTCTATCAGAGAATTGATTTAGAGAAAATCATATAATTTTCAAGAAATCTTTTCTATGAAATGATGTTCCAGGGCCCAAAAGGTTATATAGCACAAATGTGTGAAGTACACCTATAGTATGGAAACAGTACAACAAAATGTCCGTTTTACACTTTTTACGAGTAAATTCCACTCTGTCTATCTGTAATTTATTCTCTTTGTTGATATCTTAAAAAATTTAGGCTCAAAATATGTTTTCGAGAAACTTAATGCCTTTTATTGGTGAGAGATCAAAACTTTTTTGTAATTATTTTCTGAATAGAGTAGTTATCCGCAAAGACTTTGCTAATTACAGATAGCGCATTAGAAAATCTACGCAAATTTGACGCATTTTCTGGGGTAGACATAGATAGTAAGTAATGTCGTCTTCTCCAGAAATCCATTATATTTTTACCCTGTTGACTTTTCATAATGTCGTCTTTTGTAGTGAATTAAATAGTTATTTAAAAGCAAAGTCTTTGATTATTCGTATCTGTTGTCGTCTGAGGGAGGGGGGATGGCGACCCGCCCCCGTTTGATATCCGACCCGCAGATGACGTCACTAAACTGGT